ATGTACGTCTGTGGTCTTATTGTTTATTTTCAGATCTAAATAGCCATTTTGGCATATTACACAAGTGAATGAAAGGTTCATCAGCTAGATTCTTTGAGCACTCACAAGTCAACAGCAACAGAGAGTAGGGGGACACAGAGAAAAAGTCTGGAGTATATAATGTGGAAGACTGATGGGCGCTAAATTAGTATCAGAGAAAAATAAAGCCTATTCTATGAAAAGGCTAAACAGGTTCTCAAATCCATGAGAGCATGATGGTGATGATGAAGTAAACACTGAAGAAAATGATTCAACATCAAGCAATAACTATATGCATAATGCATTCTTATGTTTATATAGCAATGTTTATCCTGAGGGATCCCAAATAATTTATTTATTTCTGTTTAGACATTTGTATAGTTCTCATGATCATAGTATTTGAGTGCTTTACAACCTATACATCCATAGATTGTAAAAAGAACAGTGACTCCAGGGGAGTCCCGCTATTAGGGAGTAATTAAAGAGAATAAGTACATTGCTGAGAAGCTAAATGATTTGCATTGGTCTTCTCCACAGAAGATGCTGGGGAGATACCTACTCCTTCTGATAATGAAAGTGAATTGTCGTCAGAGACAGAGGTATAAAAAGAGAAGCTGGAACAAACTGATAAATGAAAGAGGAACTGGACACTAGGACCTCAAGGCTATACCTGAGAGTTCTGATGGGTGAGCTTGAGAAGTGGCTGAGATGCTAACAAAAATATGCAATCTCATGAAAATCAGCCAATAGACTGAAAGATAGCAAATGTTGCATCTGTCTTTTCAAAAAGGACTGCTCTGTGATTTACAAACCTGTAAGTTTTACTTTGGTAAAGCAAGTCAACTGATTGATATGTTAACTAGATATAGAATTAAAACAAACAAACAAAAAAGCCAACAACTTAGAATGATATGATGGACACAAGACAATATGGTTTGCTAAAGGAAAATTGTGCTTCTTGAATCTATTAGAATTCCTTGAGTATGCCAACAAAAGTAGTGAATAAAGGAGAAGTACTCGGCAATTTTTATTTGGACTTTCAGAAAGTCTGTTTTAGATACTATTATGGAAAATACAGAGTCCTGGAGATGGCTTAGAATCTTGCTAAAAGGCAGAAAATAAAGAGTGGGAATAAAATGATCAATTTTCAAAAAGATAAAAGGACTGGTGGTGTTTAATATGTTTAGCAGTGCTCTGGAAAAGAGGATGAACACTGAGTTGGCAAAATTTGCATTGCTTTTAGATTAGACAATATTACAGAAGCCCTGAAAGACTTCAGATTTACTTTACAAAACGAGGTGAATGGGCATCATGATGGCAGGTGACATTCAATGTTGGCAAAAGCTAATAATGCACATCAGAATGAATACTCTGAACTACTTATGCCATTTGAGATGATATAACTTAACTAAAGCCACTCAGGAAAATGAGTTGGGCATCAATGTAGACAGCTTAATGAAAACCTCTGTACAGTATGTCATGGTGCTCAAAAAAAGAGCAAAATGTTAGGATACATAGAGAATAGAAAAGAAGAAAACATAACCAATATTACAATTATACCACTGTAGAAATCAATAGTATCCAAAGCCCTAGAACAACCTGTTTAGTTCCAGTAATCCTATCTTTAAAAAGTTATGTTAAAAACAGAGTAGATTCAGAAACAGAAAATGAAAGGCATTATGGCCATGGAAAAAGGAGGAGCAATGAAAGAGATGTACAAAATAATGAAATGTATAAATCAGCCAAACTGTGTACATGGACAATCAATGACATCGAAAGAGAACAAAATAGAAAATCGATCAAATACGTTTTAAATGCACAATTTACCTCTGGAACTCATTGCAACAAGATATTATTGACATCAGTGCTTTTGTAGGATTCAGAAAAGGATTAGACATAAGATAGATAATGAGAACATCCAGAGTTACATTTGTTTAAGAAGGGAGATAAATCATCATTCTTTAGGGCATAGATCTGATAAGGAAGGGTTAGAAAGAAACTTCACTTGGCAGTTTGTTCCATAATAGTCCATTATGGTTTTTCTTGCATCTTCCTTTGAAGCATTTGGACCAGTCACTGTTGAAGACAGGATACTGGACTAGATGAACCACTGGTCTGATCCAGTATGCCTATTTTTTTGGCCCTCATTTTCTCTCTCTGTGTAGGTATGTAGGAATCACTTCATCCACTAATATAATACAGCCATCTCTGGGTGCTGTTAAGCACATAACCACACTGCACAATGTTTTGAGTCAGGAGATGAATATCACATCAAATTTAAACTAGGGGGATAGCTCAGTGGTTAGAGCATTGGCTTGCTAAACACAGGATTGTGTGTTCAATCCTTGAGGGGGGCCATTTAGGGACCTGGGGCAAAAATCTGTCTGGGGAATTGGTCCTGGTTTGAGCAGGGGGTTGGACTAGATGACCTCCTGTGGTCCCTTCCAACCCTGATATTCTATGTGGGTGCAAAAAGGGGAATTTGGCAAATTGTAAATATTCCATATTAGAATTTTGGCCAAGAAATGAGAAAATAACACCAGTACTTTTACATGGGATTTTTTAATGACCACATTCATTTTTTAGTCACAGCAGCACAGTGTCTGAACACGATTCTGGAGCACTGGTTCAATACCAGAAGAAAGGAAAGAATATCATTACTGAATCATATATGGCTGCCTGCAGCACCCTGGGTGCAGACAGTGGGCCTCCTATCCACTTATTGATCTAACTCAAACTTGCTTAGATTGTGAGATGAACTGAGATGCCTTTTTCAGGTGTTATAGTAGGGATGGGGGTCATCACGGACAACAGCATGAGAGGAGATGCAGAGAAGTCACTGCTTTGATCTTTGTTGGAACAAATATGTGGAGATATAGACTCAACATCCTGTAAACCATGTTTGAAGAATCAGAAATCACTATGAAGCAAAAATCATAACATCATGTATAGTTTCCCCTGAAATACTAATAGTTGTGTGCTCATGATGAGGCAGAGATGGTAGATGAAGAAATTGAATGTATGGTTGAAAACTAGTTCAAACAAGAATGATGTAGGTTTGTGGGGCATAATGGTCTGTGCTAGTTGAGAGAATAAATAAATCTGTCAGAGAATTTAAATTAGTGGACGGGGTAATCTATATGGAGAGGCTAGTAGCAGAAAGAAGGGACATGCTAAATAAACAGATGGGTGGCTGGAGAGGAAACATGTATGTGAGCATGTAGAAACAATTAATCTTGTTAGGTCTGGCCAGTATAAACATAGTTTTTAAAGGAGGACAGACTCTAAGTCTTACCTTCAGTGGGAGTTTTACCTAACTAAGGACAGTAGCTCTGGACCTTTTCTGCAGTACAATCCTTTCAACCTACTTCCTGGTCCTACAGTTATCTTCTGTTTTTTATTGCTAATTACTGAGTTTGTCTTTCTATTTCTTCCTCAGATTTTTGTTCACACATCCAAACGTTTCCCTCTTTGTTCTTTTCCCTGTCTCTTTTTATGTCTGTTCTTTCTCTCCTACTAAACTTCCTTTTATCCCATGTGGTTTATTTACTTCTGGTGAGTTTTAGGTTTATCTGTAGTAGAAGTTGTCTCATTGAAAATGCAGTTTTTTTTTTCTTTATTGCATCAGTACTTTCCCTACAAACAGAATTAAACTGTAAAACCTCTGAGGGTCAAACAGTCTTTAACCTTTTTTCCTTTTCTTTTTTTTTTTTTTAAAGTTCTCTTTATTCTTTGGGACTTTTCATATACATAAGGGAAAGAAGATCAGCCCCTTAGAATAAAAATTGATTGCACTATCAGCATGATGTACACCAAAAAAATGAAACCAAAAAAGAAGTGGAGGTCAATAGAGCAGTGCAACCTGTTTGACACAAGCTGCACAAATGCTCAAAATTATCCTAGTTTTGACTTCTATCTGTGTTGGCAAACTCTGAACATTGTGTATTTGCAAACTTTCTGCAAAAGCTTTTCCCTCTCTCTGCTTAGCTGTAAATTTTATTAAATTACCGTTTGTGTTGTATTTCAAGTTCAAGCGTCATTTGTTGGGTTAGTTCACAGTGACGAGGTCACATGATGAAAGTCACATGGTATTTCGCCTTTGTCTTTGATTGACTGAAATTCTTCTATGTGATCAGAAGGGTTAGCAGAAGTCATTTTCATTTTGTATCACAGAAGGAGGATGCACTTATTTGAACTGATCGAGATAGATTTTTTTTTCTTTTTAGCCCTTGGGTCTGTCTGAGTGTAATATGAAGTGGCCTTAGAACACTTATCATCTATAATTTTCATACTGGAATTATTGGCTACTGTGTCATTATTATGATGGGGAAGGAGCAGGGAGAGCTTGGGTATATAGGAATGAACATTAGGTTGTGATATATGAGACCTGAGAGTTGAGGCTTTATTTTGACTCTATCACTGAGTCACTCTGTGACTTAGGAGAAATCAGAGAAATCACTTGGGCCAAAATTTTCAAGTTTTAGGTATCCAACTTGAAAACCTAGGTCCTGATTTTCACACATGCTGAGCACCTGCTATTTCTATTGAAATCAGTGAGAGATGTGAGCACTTAGCATCTCTAAATATCAAGATCTAGGTGCCTCAAATTGAGCAGCCAAAAATAGATGCATCAAGAATTAATGGAGACTTTTGAACATTTTCACCTTACATTTATTATTCAAAATACCATCTCCTCCCCACATGCACCTTTATTGTTCTGCCCAGATGCCTGCTGAATTTGACAAGTGTCATTAGGGAGAAGAACACACACTTCTACAGGTAAAACACAAATCTTTTCCCACCCACTTTGTTTAAAAGCTCTGAGAGCCTGCATAGAAAATTGGTTGCCTTTTTCTTGACACTATTTAACATTGTATAACAAGCTTACAAACACAATAACCAACTCAACAGCCAATAATAATTGTTTGCATCAGCAGTCTGGTGGCTGATCACTATTAAATATATTTATTTAATTCTTTTACCTTGACTGCTGGAATGGGCTTCTTGGGAATAAAATGTTTTTTCTCAGGCAGTACAACAGTTGTGGTTTGCTGCTTCAGTTTAATCTTGTTCTCGGCTATTATCTTTTTGCGCTGCTCAAGGTAAGGTCCAAAACTAGGCAGTTTCTAAATTGAAAACCAGAAAATATACTATTTAGCAAGTCTATAAAACACATAAATGAATATTAACAAAGGGCCAAGGCCTTGCTGAGCATTGATTCATTTCTTATTCAGGAAGGCTCCCATTGAAGTTGATGGGATTCTTACTAAGAAATGAATAAAACTGAGACATAACTTCAAGATCTGACCTCCAAAACAATAACAGAGTTTGAATATTAAAATCATAATACATGCTAACAAAAAATGGCTGCATTGAAGACAGCATTCAACAAGCTCCTATCCTCCCATAGTATATTTGTATTGTACATAATAAATATTGATCACCTTGTATAAATAATTCAAACTCAACTTTATTCTTACAGTACATGGAAAGATATGTATTATATTTTATGTAATCATAAAAGTAAATAAAGATCAGCTTAAGAAACTCCACCATTGTTCAGTAATACACCCACTATGATATCTATTATACCAACTGTAGTTTTAAAGCTACATGGATGTGCCCATTGACTTTATAAAGCACACACAGATCCTTGTGATATGATGCCTCAAAGTTATCTGGGCCTGTTGAAGTAATGCTAACAAGTGCCACGTGAACACTAAGATGATTTAATTTTATTCATTTCATAATTCTACCTCTATTCAAAGTCCTCACTCTCTTTTAGATCTTTTAATATCTGGGCTTGCTTAGACAAATATTGCTGCTGGAAGACATCTTTAAATGCCAAAATGTTCTGTCGCAGCTAACAACATAGAACTGCTGGTTCAAGTTTCAAAAGATTACTAGAGACTCTCTCACCCACAGTCATTTGTCTACATGGTGGAGATTTGGAAAACTACTGCTTACTAAATCCTCATGACCTAGTAAGTTGCTGTGAATTAAAAGTGACTGAAAAACCTGGTTCCTACTTATGAAATAGAATGAGCCCTGGGAAAACTAGTTTTTTTTTTAATCTGAGAGCATTTAAATGGAGTGAAAAAACGCAGCTCAGAGTCTAGTCTAAGTGCAATTATATTACTGTAATTAGTAGCCGGAGATAAATATCCTAGATTGTTATCGTGAGCATTAATTCATTATAATAATTTCAGCACATCAAGCATGTCCAACTGGAAACAATGTCATCACAATAAATTTAAAGGGACAATGTCAACATGACTTTTTAAAATAAATTCCTAAAAAACATTCCAGGCTCTGATGCAGTACCGTTCTGGAAGTATCCGCTGAATAGTTTTAAAATACTTCAATTAAAAATAATATTAATAGTTATTCTATTCCTCTGCTGATATTTATATGGAAAAGTTCCTCACCGGTAATTATTTCCTCACAGGAGTCCCACTTTTGGGGTTTCAGCTTCCTTGCGTGACAAAGGGTGGATCTCCCTCAGTTGTTTGTTTTTTGGTACTCTGAGTCTACTAACTGGCAGTCTGGCATAAGTGTATTTTCTGTTCTCCTGGAACCCTCTCATTTCTCAAGTGTGCTGGAAGCAACAGTCCTCTTAAAGATCCCAGTTATGTAAATGACATGTATGCAATCTCCAGAATTCAGGAGATGGAGATCATCTCAAGAATGGAAATAAACTTAGGCTTGACAGCCCCCACAAAACAGAAACTCTAACTTTGAGGGGAGATGGGTGAAGGTGTGGAAAATATGTGTGGTAGCTTCAAAGAAGCAGAATTATAGTTAAGTAATTTCCCTTTCTTTACAGATGCCAAAAACACAGGAGTCCCATTTATGGAGAGTAAAAAGATTGAGGAATGTCTCACAATTAACTTGTAAAAACTTCTGCAAGCAGAAGTAAGAACAGAACTAGTATTTACTCCTGTGGGAATTCTGCACCAAAAATTAAAAATTCTGAAAATTCTATTAGTCAAAATAACACTATATAATCACCCCAGTTTCAATTATTTTGGTAATTTATTTCAAAATACCCATCAGCAAGTATGATAACAATACAGACACACACAAAAATCCCCCCAGGAGTTGAGGGTTAAAGAAACAACAACCCAGTTCCTGTTTCTCTGCCCCCTCCACCACAGGGCCCAGTCATGCCTCTCTCCTCCACCCTCCCCCGCTGCCCCCGCCCAGACACTCACACCCCTGTCCCCGCCACAATCCAGCCGCTGCTCCCCCCAAGCCCAGACACTCACACTCCCTACCCGCCTAAGCCCAGTGTGGGGCCCTCCCTAGCCCAGACACTCACACCCCCCTACTCCCCAGTGCCCAGGGATCCAGAGGGAGAAACAGCCTGATGCTGGGTCCCGGGCTTGCACGGAATTTTCTGCATGCCGCCCTCTCCTTCCTTCAGGGAATGCTGGGAACTGCAGCTGCCAGGAACCTTCCAGCTACTCCTCCCCGTTCCCCCCAGTAGTGTGTCCTACTTGTGAGCTGGGCTCTGCTGGGTCCAGTGGCCCCTAGTAGCAGCCAGCAGCTCTGCAGCCCATTTCTGTGGGGAAAAAAGGGAAATTCTGCGTGCACAACATTAATTACTGCAAAATTCTAAATACCAAAGTAAAATAAGGCCTGTTCAGAAAAGAGACAATAGATAATGTTGGGGAAGGGAGAGTTTACATCCTTCCCATCTAAACAATTGGCTCCAAAGCTCATGGAGAGATCCCCTATTCTTAGCAATGAACATGTTTTTATGCTGTTTTTAAATTGAAAAGACCCAAGGCTGATACCATAGCCTCAGTACTGCAAATGATGAAAGAAACTTTTCTTGCAGGATTGTCAAGGTGTATCAGCTAGAAAAGTACATTTCTGGCCTTCAAATATTTTTGAAACAGTCTTGTGCTGGCTTCTGATTAGTTTCCAGAAGGAATTTAAGGCATTGGTTTTGACCTCTATAAATGATGTAATACCTGTGTAACTGAGAACCTGCCTCTCCCCTGTATACTACTGATGCAATGGTGGTGCTGAAGCTAAAACCTCATGAATTAAAAGGGAAAGGGACTGATGAGACAGCATTTTTGGGAAAAGCTCTTGATTCTTCCTTTGTATAGTTAGGGAATGAATTTGCCGACTTTTAGGGCATGTTGTAAGTCTAATTTATTTTGTCAGGTTTTTAGTGAAGTGGCAGGCTCAGGGATGGATATTTTTGTTCTGATGATGGAGGGCTGCTAAAATCAGATAATCTTTGGGGAATTGGGGGAGGGGGGGAGATGATGAGCAAATCTTTGTGTTGTGGATCCTGAACTTTTACTTTTGCATATTTTTTAGAGTTGACAAGCTCCAAAGGCTAACAGTCAGGACCTGTGAGAATAAATTTTAAAATATGAAGTATAAATATATAAAATATAAATTTTGTTAAAAAGTGGAAAGTCCATAGTTTGTGTGATGAATTAAGGGTGCAAATTAGAGAAGTGTGAATTATTGAGGCAAAAGCCTTTCTTCATCAAAGAAACGCACAAATCAGTTTTGCCATGGAAAGTTTCAAACATTTCAATTTACATAGTTGCTCGGTGGAATGGATAGAGGCCATTTTGAAATGGGTCTAATTTCACTCGTGCCATGGGAATGTATCTGCTGCTGTGTTAAATATTAAAAGGAAAAACTGACCATTTCAGTTTAGGGCCTATGGTAACTCACAACAGTCAAACCAAATTTTATCAAACTTGATTTTTTTTCCCAGTCAGCCAGACACAGTTTCCATCTGAAAAGATTACTTTTGCTAATATTCTGAGAGAGTAAAAATAGTATTTCTTTAACTATACATAACACCTGACTGCATAGCTCAGGAAGGGGTTTATAGAGGGTTTCTCTTGCAAATAGTGTATAGACAGTCAGAAAGGTGATAAGACTGCTGATCTTTCAGTGCTTTCATTTCAGACAGTTTGGCTTGGAATGCTATGTGAGGCAGTATGCAATTTTTTATTGAACTGAAGTATCAGATATGCTAAAAATGGAGCTGTTTAATTAGCTACTGGAAAGCTGGATATTTAAGATGGTGGTTTCATTAAACGCTGTCACTTCACTTAGACTCATAGACTTT